CACAGCTGTCCAACATTCTTTTAGTTCATTGTTTGCTTGATTACATATGGTAGTGTATCAGACTATCACACCATATCACACCAAATGGATGACTGAAATAAACCTGGATGAAGGAGGCAGAGGTACCCTTGAATGAGCCTGCTTGGTCTAGGGACACACCTTGGTTGCATTTTTGTTTGTTTGTTTGTTTGAGTCGCTCAGCTAAAATTCAGGGGGAAGGGAAGGTTAAGAAAAAAAACATGAAAACCCTCTCAAGTCTTTTTTTTTTTTTTTTAAATTTCTTCAGTAAATAACACTAAGGATCTTATGTGTGACCAGAAGTAGCAGATGCTTTCCTGGATGCTTGGTGCAGCTTCCCAAACAAGGACCAAGATCCAACAGAATGCTCAAACTCAGGATGACCTCCTCAGGCAGGCAGGGCTTAAGGTAAATGCTCCTGGACTACACAATGAGACCACTCAGTCCAGCTCCTTGTAGTCCTGTGAGCATTACCAGAGGTCTCTTGTCCCGGGTTTTGTTGTGTAGGCTTTTGAGTTCTTTGTTCTTGTTGCAGCATTGAGAAGGGTCCCTGCTGGAACCCTTTTCTGCCATCTTTCTAGAGATGTCCATACACACTGCTTTATTCTGGTGATTTTTGGTAAGGGCTTTCTGCACCCTTGCTTCTCCCCAGATGGTGAGAAACTCAATGATTTCTGCACAGCTCCATGATGCTGCACATGGCATTGTATGGTAGTATAGATTGTAGAATAGTAGTAATACCCTACTCAGATGTTGACGTATGTGAATCCAGGAGCAAATGGACCGGTCCTGGCTTCTGGCCAGCATTTGAACAGGGAAGGTGACATCTGGGTAACATGACCTCAGAAGAGTGGAGAGTACTCAGGTAAACCGGCTGATCCTGATGACATGCAAAGCAGAGTGGGATAGCAGTTAGCGAACTGCCACCCTAGTGCAAATGAGCATTTGGGTACATGAACATTAGTCCACACTAACTCATCCACAATTAACTTAATCCGCTTTCAGTCTGGATTGTGGAATACATATTACTTGGTCAATTAGAGTGCTTTGAAAGAGTGTGTCATGTATATGAAGGTCATTTGAGTATGTACTGGGTAAAGTTAGTGCAATTTAAACCTCCCATATAGACAAGCCCCAAGGGATTGCAGAATCGAGACCTTTAAAATACCAGAGAAATAGCATTTGATTAGGCTAGTGACCTTTTCTTTGCATAGGAGTGTAAACAGAATACGTTACTTCTGGCTTTGCATATCTCGTTTTATAGAAAAATAGTGCTACATTCAGCCGTAAAGAACTCAGATCATTACTGCTCACATTTAGTGTTACTCCACTGTTTGGGCCATTATAGCCGAGACCATCTAAAGATTAATAAGTCTACTACAGCCTTAGCTAAGTGCCAGGTAGCTCTTAGCTCATACAGTAGAGGCTCATATACTAAGCTTCAGAGGTCCCAGGTTCGATCCCAGTGTTACATGTGCACACAGCCAGCCAAGCAAGTCTATTTGCAACAGGGTGGATTTGATTTAAATCACTAGTCAGGAAGGCTTGATTTAATCATGGATTTCTACATAAAAGTGCATTCTTGTTGGTTGTTATAACCTTAATATATATTCTTCACAACTCAGAGATAGATGTAGGTTTCATTTTTAGAAGGTACACACTATACACTTTTAAAGTGATTTAATTTGGAAACTTTTCAGATTAGTTTTACAGCTATATCAGAAAATGAATGATTGGTTATTTCATTTACCAAAAGGTAATTGAAGCAGATATTTATGAAGTCACTCGGAGGTAAACTATCTTCAATTCAACAGGTTAATCCTTTATATTTGGAGGATTTTATTGCCATGCTGTATTAGGAGGAGAACATCGTCAGACAGACATTTAAACTGTTTTATTTAACTAAAACAACAACGTTAGGTATTTTGGATATATAATATTTTAACAAAACAAGCATATGAATTTTTGAATGTAGTTAAACATTCAAGTTTTTTAAAATCAGGTTTGTTTTTGTTAAAATAGTTTTTAACTGAAATAGTTAAATGAATTTTTTTTTAAAAGCAACAAAAATTAAATTGACTGTGTCAGCCAGGTCAACATGAGAAACTTAAAACATTGGCTTCTGCAGCTAACTCAGTCGTCTTCACCTTCATTTTCCTGTTTGTTCATAATCTGGAAAAGAAAAACAAGCGTTTCTGCTCTTTCAGGTCCCAAATGATTTCTCAATTTGGAACAAATTAGTCCAAAGGAAGAAAATATTCTTTCTACACCGGCAGAAGAAGCTACAGTTGTTAAAAGTGAGATTACCACTTCAACAGTCTCTGAGTCCAAGTGCTTAAGTGACTTCCACCAGTTTGCTGGTGTGACTTTCTTTGAAACATCATCAGCAAACATATATTTCTTGAATGGTTCTTATTCACAAACTGGGTCTCTTTTACAGCCTGCTGCCATTATAGATTTTCCCTTCTAGTGAGAGTGGTATGGTAGATTTCAAATCAATGAAGGCTATACTCAGAAAGACCTCAAGACTTCTGGAATATGCTGCTCAAACAATTCCACTTTTGTTTCTAGTGCCTGTCCCTCCCTTCTCACATTTATCTCCAGACTTCTTCTCCTTGTCCAGATGTATTTCGCTCCCAACAATAGTCTATTCATTGAACTTTTTGAAACGTTGCACTTTTAGAGAGAGGTAAGGGATTGACTCTGTGTACACAAATTTGCAGATGGACAATAGGGTTGAGGTCTGTTATAGCTCACCTCTATATATTATTTCTTTAAAAACATTTTTGCTGTTAACAAGCATGTTATCTCTGGAGATGCAAATCCAGTTTGAGAACTGCAAACCTAAACATCTCTGATGGTATCTTCTAGACTGAGCACTGAGTCCCATTGGGTAGATAGAAAGATTAACCTAAATAATCTATGCAGAAGCCCCTAGAACCTCATAAGATTGGGTCCTTAATCCATGAACTATTGGAACTCATTTACAAAACTTTTTTTAAACATTACTTGAATATATTCTCATACTATAGAATTAAAATTTATAATCTTTATTCCATGATGAGAGATCTTTGAGCTATAATGTATCTTAATTAAAACTATCTTCAGATAGGTTTTTTCCTCAAAAAGCATTTTATCAAAAAAATCAGATTTAAATTAAAAAATCTGATTTGGATTTATTTTTTTTAATTCATTGATTTTTATCCACCCTGATTTGCAATGTTAGAAAAGATAGGATGCCCACCAACCCTGTTAAGTCTTAAATGTTCATTCCACAACAACATGAGAGCAACTGTCCAGTTTGACAGGTCCATTTCAGATGGGTTTAAGATGAAAAGCGGAGTGAAACAAGGATGCGTTCTTGCCCTTACACTCTTTGGAATCTTCTTCTGAGTACTCTGGAACTGTGCATTTAAGGACATGAAAGATGGAGTGTATCTTCACACAAGATCAGATCGGAAACTCTTCAAACTGTCGTGACTTAAGTCAAAAAGGCGCTAATCAGGGAACTTCTATTCGCTGCTGCTGCTGCCCTCATAGCCCATGATGAAGATCTACTACAAGAACTCATGGACGGACTGCCTTTCAACTGCTTGTCAGGCATTTGCTCTCACCATTAACATCAAGAAAATGGTTGTATTAGGACAAGGGGTTCCACAAGATCCTTCAATCACCCTAAATGCAAACCAGCTAGAAGTAGTCCAAAAGTTCAGCTATTTACGTTCTACAGTGACCACCAACCTCTCACTAGATGGAGAACTAAATGTTCGCATTGGAAAGTCTACCACCACCACCTTCAGCAGACTAACTAAAAGAGCATGGAACAACTCAAAGCTGACCATCAAGACCAAAACGCTAGTGTACCAAGCTTGCATCCTCAGCACTCTCATGTATGGCAGGGAAACATGGACAATTTATGCTCATCAGGAGAAAAGGTTAAACAGTTTCCCCCTACATTGTTTATATCGGCAAAGATAAAGTCACCAACACAGAGGTTCTTCAAAGGGCAAATTTACCAACCGTGAAAGCCCTGCTCAAGCAAAGACAACTGCACTGGCTGGGCCATCTGAGTAGTTTGGAAGACGGACACATACCCAAGGACATGCTATACAGGGAGCTATCAGAGGGAATAAGAACAGGATATCCCAAACTTCATTATAAAGACACATGTAAGTGAGATATAAAGGAATTTGGTATTGATCCTGACCAATGGGAAATCTTGGCAAGTGATCATAACAAGTGGTGCCATCAGGGTATCAAAGTCCATGACAGGAGCTGGCTCCTGCAGCTTGAAGAGAAAAGAGCCAAAAATCATGCCAATCTCAGATTGGACTATTCAGTCACATGAGACATTGCAAACCATCTACACCATAGGCTGTAATTCCCACATCTGGATTAGTAGATTAAAGGCTGCCAACAATGTGCGCACACTATCAACACCTGCCCCCTCAGGTGCTATAGCCTACACAGGTTTCAGAGTAACAGCCGTGTTAGTCTGTATTAGCAGACTACACAGTGATTCATACAGGCTGAAAAAAATGTATGAATGGCCTGCTCCTGGAGTGCTTTGGGGGTGGGGGGATTTAGTCTCTGAAGGCTGAGCAATCCCGGGGGGGGGGGTGGTTCCTCCCTGGGGCTGGGCACCTGTCTGAGCCCAAGCTTTGCAAATCCCTGCATTCCCCGGGGCGCTGGGGCAATACACACAGTAATGCTAAGGATGACAGCCTGAGGGTCCTGCTGCTGGGGCCTCTGTGCCAGGACGCAGGGGGCGAGGAAGGGGGGCTGAGAGCCATTGAACCAAACTGTTAAACCCTTTGTATAATGGAAACTACTTCAAGCCAGGCGATGCGGTAGCACCCCTCCTTCCAGCATCTTCCAGCGGGGAGCAGAAGGCACCCTTGGCGGAACTACTCCCCCAGCCCTTGCAAGAGCAGGAGGGGGCCAGCCCCGCCCACCCGCGCGGCCTCCGTAGCAATCTAGGGCGCTTGGGCGGGGACGAGACACAACCTATCAATACCCCCGCCCACGTGGTTCCCCTCGGCCCCGCGCCGGCCGGCTCCCAGCGGCGGCGCCGTTCGCATGTGGCTGCTCCTGCGCCTGGAACCTCCCGGGCCCTTCCGCGTCCGTGACTCTGCGCCCCAGCGGGCCGAGGTAGGCAGCCGGAGCGGCAGCCAGGGGAGCCGGGCGGCACGGAGGGGGCCCGGGGCTGCAGGGCTGCGCGGCACGGAGGGGGCCCGGGGCTGCGCGGCACGGAGGGGGCCCGGGGCTGCGCGGCACGGAGGGGGCCCGGGGCTGGGTGCGCGGCACGGAGGGGGCCCGGGGCTGCAGGGCTGGGCGGCACGGAGGGGGCCCGGGGCTGCAGGGCTGGGCGGCACGGAGGGGGCCCGGGGCTGCAGGGCTGCGCGGCACGGAGGGGGCCCGGGGCTGCGCGGCACGGAGGGGGCCCGGGGCTGCGCGGCACGGAGGGGGCCCGGGGCTGCAGGGCTGCGCGGCACGGAGGGGGCCCGGGGCTGCAGGGCTGCGCGGCACGGAGGGGGCCCGGGGCTGCAGGGCTGCGCGGCACGGAGGGGGCCCGGGGCTGCGCGGCACGGAGGGGGCCCGGGGCTGCGCGGCACGGAGGGGGCCCGGGGCGGGCCCGGAGCTGCCGGGGGGAGGGGGAGGAAGCGCCCTGCGCTGGGGGCTGCGGTTTGCGCGTGTCTGCGGGCGACCTCCGCTCGGGTAGGTCCCAGCTGACGTGCCGCTGAGCACAGCGAAGGGCTCCGGCCCGCCGGGGCAGGGTGCGCTCCGCGTCCCTCCCGTGCCGTGGCCCCAGAGCCTTGCTCAGCCGCGCTCGGGCCTGCCGGAGCCTCCGCCGCCCCCCGGCCGGGAAGGCCGCTTGCGCGCACATGCGGGCGGGCGGCGACCCCACGTTTCGGGGTGTAAACTGCTGTCACCGCCGGCCAGATGTGTGTGTGCGCCACCGCCCTAGGGAGCGCCTGGTACGGGGGGCCACAGCCCTTGGGCAACCCCTGACTCCAAGAACCAGCCCGGCCGGATCGGCTTTAGCAGCCCCTGGGGCCGTGCGCTTCCCCGTTACTTCGTGGCTGGTGTAGAACAGGGTGTGTCTGGCCTCAGTCACCGCTCCAAAGGCTTGGGCGTGGGGAGTTTTTTTCTTTTCACCTGATGAGGGAGATTTCCCTGTTAGACGTTCCCAAGGGCTGGTGAGCTGTAATGTTTGTGTTGGATTTTTTTCATCCTAGGCATGAAAATGTCCTTCTCAAATAGATAAAACCAAAAGCTAATTTTTTGTGGGTGTAGTTATTTGAAATGAAATTATTTATTAACATTTTGTCAAGCCCCAAGAAAGTATTAAAGATCACATTCCAAACACACTTAAAACCTTAGACTGACTATTAAAGAGAACTTCTTTGATGTATAAGTGCAGTTTTGTGTTCCTTGGCTGTTCAAGAGTGTTGCTTGTTGGGTCCTTAGAGATGTTTTCATTTGCCATTTCACCTACAAGGTTTGTAAACAGATAGCCGTCATTTTGGCTGGTCAAAGGTTGCAAGTTGTTTTAGGTTTATAGCATCCAGAAGACACAAGAAGATGTATTCCCTGACCACAAATAGCTTAGAGTCAGAATTTTAGACACAACATGAGAAGGGAACATGTGGATAAGGAGGATGAGATTTACATTATGATCATGTGGTTTCATAGTTTATGCATGTGCAAGATATTACTCAAACCTCAGAAAAAGTGAGGGATGGACTGGACAAAAGGTTCCATCCCCATCTTGCAGATTATGAAACTGGGGCACAAATAAGCGATGTAACTTTACCAAGGTGTGTCAGCTCAACAGTGGTAGAATTTGGAATGGAACCATGTGTTTTGGCTCCGGAGCTGCTGCCCTAACTACTAGAAAGCACTCCCATTGGACTATATGGATCATTGGTGTGGTGGGGAGGTGAGGATGCAGGACTTAATGGACGTTATTCTGATGTGTTGCAGCAAGGAAAGTCTAACGTTCTCTAGAACAGGTGAGCTTTTTCGGTGGGTTTTTTTTCTTTTGTTTTTAGGCAGTCTCCTGCCTGCTATAATTTTTCTTTTCACCTCCAAATGGATTTGATTGTTTTTAGTTGTCTCTGCTGGTTTTCCGTTGACTATTCTGGTATGTGGCAAGGGGAGGCATTAGAACCTTTTATTACATCACTGGTTGATCAGGGAAGCGTGACCTCTCTCTCTTGCCTGAATGAGTCAGTCAGATACTGGTGACTAATTTCAGGGTTTAACATGGCTTGTGTGGTCACGGTGCAGCGCTGGGAGAGAACTCTCCCAGTGCTCTAGAAAAACCACCTCAACGAGACGCGTAGCTACCAGCGCTGGTGCACTGTTTACACTGGTCCTTTACAGTGCTGAAACTTGTTTTTCACACCCCTGACCCAGAAAGTTGCAGCGCTGTCAATTTCCAGTGTAAACAAGCCCTTCTACTCCAAGACCATAAAGCATACTTTCAGAATAAATACACTATACTTTAAATGTTACCTGTACATACATCTTGCAATGATTCTGAACCTTGATGAATATCTACAGGCTGTTTGTAGGTATTTTACATGCTACTCTTCATGGATAAATATCCTGTGTGATATGTTTGGTGCAATGAGCGTGTGTGGTCTGAGGTGAGTTATTTGCAAAGAACAGGGACTCTTTGCCAAGGGGTCTCTAGGTTACAGTAAATGATTTAGGAATTTTAGGCATACAAGTCCCACTCAAGGCAGCAGAATGTACCCATGGGTTCTAGAGAGGAAGATCCTCCTTTTGTAGATATGTTTTTACTTCTTGGATTCTTTTATTGGCAGTTTCTGCTACAGCAGTTAGTGGACTTCTGCCCCCACATAACCATGGAGGTTATGTGGACTGCTGAGTCACTGGCTAACAGTCTAGTCTCTGGGATCATGTGGTGGTTGTGTAACAACCAGGCCAATCATCTACTCAGAGTTACTAGGGGAGATGTCTCAAAAGATTCTGTAATAACAGCCATTTTATTGGTAGATTATGAAATTAAAATGTCTATGTATACTGGAAATGCATAAAAGGGATATACAGAAATTAGAGATGATCTAATGGAGAGAGCTGTTGAGTTCCCCTGCCTGCCTTTAGTTTTTATTCTTTATTGCAATCAAAATACAATTTGAAGATCACCATAGATCCTTATATATGCTTTCTATTATTTATTGACTTGACAGAAATCTGCTGCAATTGTCCAGAGAGTCTCAGTCCAACTTTTAATGTCACCTTACAGCAGTGGTCTCCAACCTTTTTAAGCCCAGGATCACTTTTTTAATCTAAAGGTAACCCAGGATCTAGCCCATCCCTTCCCCGAGGCCCTGCACCTTCTTCCCCCCCCACCCCCCGCTCACACCACACACACCCCCTCCCCCATGCTCACTCACTTTCACTGGGCTTGGGCAGGGGGTTGGGGTTCAGGAGGGGGTGTATGCTCTGGGCTGGGGCCAAGAGGTTTGTAGTGTGGGGGGGTCTCTGGGCTGAGCCTGGGGAAGGGGGTTGTGGTGTAGGAGGGGGCTCTGGGCTGTAGCAGAGTGTTGGGGTGCAGGAGGGGGTACAGGGTGCTGGCTCTGGGAGGGGGATCAGGGCTGGGGGTTGGGGTGCGGCCTCCCACCAGGCAGCACTTACCTCTGGCGGCTCCCGGTCAGCGCAGCGAGACTACGGTAGGCTCCCTGCCTATCCTGGCCCCACACTGCTCCCAAAAGGGGCCAGTGTGCCCCTTGAGGGGGGTCACGTGGCTCTGTGAGCTGCCCCTCTCTGCAAGCATCGCCCCCGCAGCTCTCCCGGCCAATGGGAGCTGCATGGAGGGAGACACTCCCCCCCCGACCCCTCCCCGGGAACAGCATGGGGCCAGGGTAGGCAGGGAGTCTGCCCTAGCAGCAGCCACAGTGCACTACTGGGAGATCCTCTGCGATCAACTAGTTGGTGACCACTGCCTTATAGTCACACGAGTAAAGGTGGTTGCTAATTGAGCAGGGGAATCTACTGGCTTATTGTGTACAAATACTTGATTTGAAGACTGTCATGGAGTTGGCTGTGATAACCTCTGAATGCTGTATGATCTGTAGGTTTTTCAAAGTATTGTAAAGCTATTTTCTGAATCCATATGGTGTGTTAATTCAGAATGGGTTTTTGAGGAATGCACCACGGTAATGGAGAGAGTGGATCCAGATAGCTAGCTATCCACCTACCCACACTCAAGAGAGTTGGATCAACCCCTGGATGTACTTGTCATGAGTTTGGCAAGTGAGGAGGCCCAAGTTGGGCACCTGGAGAACAGTGGCTTTTGCTTGTTGTAAAAAGGACACTCCCTGAAGTGGGGAGCATGGGGGAGGGGAGGGACACATGTTTTGCAGGGGACTGAGATGGTCTTGGGGAGAAGGAAAGAGAGCTAAGATGAAGAGAAACGAATGCTGAGCCCCAGGAACCTTCTGGGGTTCCATATGCTTATGCTGATTTAAATGGGCATTAAGCAGGTTAGATGCCGAGGCACTTTTGAAAATTACACTAGGCGCCCCTTTATATCTTTAGGCACCTAAATCTCTTTTGAAGTCTGCTCTTTTTTTCTTACGTATCCAGCACCTTGGAGGTAATTTTACTTAACTACTAGCAATAATTTTAAAATGCTGGGTTTGAACATGTTTAATTGAGTTCCAGTTTCCTTCCTAATGCAGCTTGACATGAATTCCAAATAAAAAATGATCTAGTAAATAAGTAGTGAGTGATTTCACTAACTTCTAACATAACAAAATGTAAAAGTGAAGGATCTGAATAAATGTATGTTAAGCTATATAATTACTTAAATGTATAGTCAGGGCCGGCTCGAGGCACCAGCAAAGCAAGCAGGTGCTTGGGGCAGCACCTTTGCAGGGGCGGCATTCAGGCCATCCTTTTTTTTTCTTTTCTTTTTCCTGCTTGGGGGCTGGCCCTGCGGGCGCTCACCCAGATAGACGCTGTCTGCCGCCGAAGTCCAGGTGGAAGAGCTGCAGCGGGTGGCCAAAGCTGGCCCCGGGACTGGGGTCCAGCAGCAGCGTGGGGGGTGCCCTGGGGCTGCTGTGGTTCGTGCCGCCGGCAGGCTCTGACACGTGGAGCACGGGACAGTCTGGCTG